GCAGAGCTATCAACCGATCACCACCTTGTTGTTGGCACGCTGCGCTGTAAGAAATGGAGTACCATATGAAAATCTGGTGGCAGAATCAACCGGAGAATCAAATGGGAAACATTACCTTCGGTGGACACGAGAGAGAAATTTGCAAACAACATCGCCAGAACGGTATGAAGACATCCCAGTGATGACAAGTCACGTTGAAACCAAGTGGCAGTCCTATAAGAGCGGCATACTCGAGGCAGCCGCCGAATGCTCCGGATTTAAATGCGTTGGCGTGCCCCGCGGAGTTCAGAAAAGACCTTCCTGGTGGACAGGAGAGGTACAACTGGCAGTTAAAGAGAAGAAAGCAGCGTTCAAGAAATGGCTTGGAAATAAACAGCCTTCTACCCGCGTGTGATATGTCGAGACAAGCAAGGCAGCCACGAAACTAGAGGTGAAATCTAAAGCTGATTCTTGGGAGAATCTCGGTGAAGTGATGGAGTCGAATTTCCACGCGGCAACAAAGATATTCTCTTAGACCATCCGCCGGTTCCGAGGTGAAAAGAAGGAGAGGTATGGACACCCTCTTACCAAAGATCATGACATTCTTCGGCGATTGAGAGACTACTATGACGAACTCATAACCCTGCGCAACCGCAGGAAGACTCGCTTGTAGAGCAGCAGGGAACGGATATTATTTTTTTCTGTAGATAAAATTACACAAACTGCGACAAGCTTAAAAATGTAAAGGCTGTTGGAACTGATGAGATTGGTTCTGAAATGTTCAAGGCATTAGGCGAACAGGGCATGTGCTGGCTTACACGTGTCTGTCAAACTGCGATGAATACGGGAAAGACAGAATCGGACTGGGGAACGGGAGATTTTGCACCACTATTCAAGAAGGTAGACTACACCGAGTGCTCCAATGATAGGGGCATTGCGTCATTGAGCACCCCAAGAAAAGTCTACGCAAAGGTGCCAAAAAAGAGGTGCTGCGGAATAAATGACTACAAGATACAAAAACAGTGTGGCTTCCGACCCGGTCTAAGCACCTCTGATCATATATTTGCCCTGTGGCAGATTGATGAGAAATCGTGGGAGTAAGCCTGTCCGATGTACGTGTTTTGTTGACCTAGAAAAAGCCTATGCCCGGATCCCATGCAACAGTCTGTGGCCATGCCTTCGAGCATACGAGATAGATGGCGAACTGCTAAGGGCCATCCAATCTTTGTATTCCGATAGCAAGTGCTGCGTCAGAGTAAATAACGTTCAATCTAAAAACTTTAATGTTGGCGCTGGTCTCCGCCAAGGCTGAGCCCTGTCCCCTCTCCTACGTGTTGTACATGGTAGAATAGTCAGGAGCAGCCCACGCGATTCGTGTATCGGTGTAGGAGATGTGAAGACGAGAAGGTTGCTCTTTGCAGACGACCTTATTTTATTAGCATCTTCTGAAACTCATCTTCAGTGCTCCTTAGAAAGGTTCGCAGCCGAGTGCGACGCGACCGGCATGCGCGTGAACGCATCTAAAACGAAAAGCTTAGTGTTTTCTCGTTCTCCTGCCAGCTGCTCTCTTCAGATTAACGGAGAGGCAGTGGAGCAAGTGGAGAAGCTCAAGTACCTCGGGGTCGTATTTACTTGTGATGGAAAACTTGAAGAAGAGATCAACCGGCGGGGCAGCCAATGGCGTTCTGCGTGAACTAGCCCTATCCACTGTGACTAAAGCAGAGTTCAGTCTGGAAACAAAGCTCTCTGAGTTCAAATCGATCGTTATCCCCATGCTAATCTACGGTCATACGTCGTGGACCAAGACTGTGAAGCTTCGAACTCGGATACAATGGGCTTTCTTAGACGAGTCGCTGGCCCTACGCGTCTGGACATGGTCGGAATACTGACATCTGGGAGAGACTTGGTGCACAGCCTCTGCTTCTCCAGATTTGAAAGTCACAGCTACGATGGCTTGGGCATGTGATGCGAACGCCTCCAGAAAGGAAGCCTATGCAAATTTTTATTGCAAATCTGACCGGCAGAAGGCCCAGGGGCGGCCAGATTATTATGGTGCTAATATATGGAAGAAGTCTCTTCCAGGCTCCAATTGTCTTCTTCCGAAATTTAGACTTTGGCACAGGATCGGGAACGTTAGAAGGTCTGTCTGAACGCATCTGCGTGCACAACCCGTAAGAAGTGGCCATGGAAGATGAATATGAATGAATGAATGATGTCATGTCTGCAACAGTGAGAATGCTGCACTTCCTTCCAGTTCCATAACGAGCATAATTTTTATAGCTCCCTTAGTTTTAAAAAATTTATGGATGCAGTCATGAAATGCATTTTGATTCGTCAGTCAAGAGAGGCTATTCTGAAAACAACCAGTTTACCTGCTTCATTTTTGCGAATTTTTACTCTGCCTACCTCCAAAGAATGAAGGGCGAGTGACCATGTCGAAAATCAAACTATGATCATTTGACTGCGTGTTCTTTGCTCTATCGACTTAACTAACCCATCACTTGTGTGGACTACTTACGCGAATATCTCTGAACCTCACCATGAACCATGGATTTGGAAAAATGAATAATTAATTTCTTAGGCAAGTAAGTGATACCTCCTTAGGGATTATTATTGTTTGAACATTTTGTACATTCATACATTATATTCTTGATATACTGTAAACGAAGACAATGATAGGTAGCCGGTCACTTGTGATTAAATTGTCATCAGTCAGGCAAGCTTCCTGTGCTAAGTTTAATGATACTTACAACAGAGTAGGTCTTTCCCACTGCGTTGATCGGGTCACGTGATTGACGTAAAACGTCCGACCGTTTGCGTCTACACGCTCTTCCCATCCAGACGGCAACGAGGGTTGTTGTTCGGCTGACGGTGATTCGGCTACCATAGACGTCTGACATCCGGCACGGACGAATTCCCAATCACCCTAGAGCGGTATACGATTATCAATTAAGGTGCCGCCGATTATTAATGTAATCAACTTAAACTTCTTATCCAGAATTTGTTGATGTTTTGATAAGTAAAATTCAAGGTAAACCATAGGAAAGAATTTGACAACTACAGACAAATGTGACTTTACACAAGATTTCGATACAAAAACCTGCTAAGATGAACACAACTACTACGGAAGGTAAACTCTGTATTTTTACAATAAACTTATGCAAAATATAAGACTATCGCTTCTTCACTGACAAAACATAAAATCAAGTGGAGAGTCGAATGCCCAAAACTGAGGCTGTCTCTGTTAAAACCTCCAATATCTATTTCTTGAAACATGCGGTTAAGATTCAATAACGATCGATGGGTTCGGTTATATATTATTAACGTTCAGTCGAACAACGGTGGATATCAGCAAGAGAAACAGTCAGTGAAGATCGAGAAGCTTATTTCCACTGGCTGCTACGCTTCCGCATCTACAAGTGGAACAGTAACGTGAGGCGCTTCAGTAGGTTAATCAATTTAAATATCTCGGTTCCATCATCTCCACGATGATATGTTTCCATCTGCTTGATTTCAAGAAACCTTTGCAATAACTGGGCAGATAAAAGAGCAACTATTTTCACAAAAAATCTCGCATCTGTCATCTCAGAATCAGGTCGTTGCTGTTGTACGGCATGGGAGGGGGAGCTGATGCACTGTTCAATGCACACGTATATTCGGTTGCCTTAACGTTTCATGGACGTTTCAGTTTTAGTAGATCCTAGGCATCTTAGCCGTGATCGCTGCTGAATCATTTCCACTAATCCTCGGACCCAAAAACGAAATCAGATCGATTGGCAGGGTCCAACCATTACGCCAGTGGTAATGATAAGTTACTGGTCGCCGCCTGTACACATCTTCTTGCCAAGCGTATAGAAATAAGATGGCGTTGCCGTGAAACCTGGTCTTTTGCGAAGTTACGTACCTAGTAACAAACATCATAAGCTGTTCATACGCCTGAGTATGTCAAACAGTAAATGACTCATCCAAGACTAGATTTCCCGGTGTATTGCACAACGCCCTTGCTCGACGCGACGTAGGTCTGGCGGACAAAACGATACGAGAAGCATCCGGTCCTGCATGATTACAAACACCACGAAACCGCAGTCCCAGGAAACTAGGAGCAAAGAGGCGTAAAATATTCCGTGAAATCTTGTTTTGGAGGAGTCAATGGTTATCTGCCTATTAAAATACTTAA